TTTTTACCTTCTCCTCGCTAGGAATTTGTGCCTCTCTTGTGGTTGCTCTAACGACTTTACTTGGGATAGAATGGATCAAGTACAAACAACGAATCAAAAGGCAAGACATCATGAGGAAGAGGGGCGAGTATTTTCATCTACACGGAGGCCAATTGTTAACAGATATGATGAACATAGAGAACAACATTTCATTTAAGCTGTATGACCGAGATGACATTGAGTTGGCCACCAAAGGCTTTGACAAGACATCAATCATTGGTGAAGGAGGTCAGGGTACTGTTTTTAAAGGGTATAATCTTGATCAAGTGAACAACCCTGTTGCGATCAAAAAGTGCAAGGGATTTGATGAGAATAGTAGGACAGAATTTACACAGGAGCTGCTCATACTTTCTCGAGTCAACCATGAAAACATCGTCAAGCTTCTTGGTTGTTGTCTGCAATTTGAAGTTCCAGTTCTTGTGTACGAATTTGTCCCCAATAAGACTTTGCACTATCTAATCCACAGCCAAAATGATCCATCCATCAGAACACTGGAGATCCGCCTAAAAGTTGCTGCCGAATCTGCTGAAGCATTTTCATATCTACACTCACTGGACCACCCTATCTTACATGGGGATGTCAAGTCGATGAACATACTGCTTAGTAACAATTTTATTGCAAAGATTTCTGATTTTGGGTGCTCCAAAATTAGGGCAGCTGATGGACACGATGACGTGGTGAAAGGTACGATTGGCTATCTAGATCCAGAGTACCTGCTGAAGTTCGAGCTCACTGACAAGAGTGACGTGTACAGCTTTGGTGTCGTTCTTCTTGAGCTTTTAACACGCCGTACACCATTATCTAAGCAGAAGGTCAGCCTCGCATCAGTATTTCAAGAGGCCATGAAGGAAGGCCTGTTTCTTGAGCTCATAGACACAGAAATATTACATGAGGATAACATGGGATTGATTGGTGATCTAGCAAGGCTGGCATGCCAGTGTTTAGCAATGACTAGTGAGAGCAGACCAACAATGTGCAGGATTGCAGAGGAATTGCGACGAATAGAAAAACGAGTACGACAACACCGTGGGGTACTTACAACTATTAGTTCAATGTCATTGTTAGCAAGTTCATCTGCAGACACATCATTGCATTTCACAGGTGAAACCAATGGCTACAACAGCCTTAGGAGCGTGGCTGCAATGAGCATAGAATTTGCTAGATGATTTCACAAGTACTACATGGTTGTCGTTTGAATGAGCGCTTATGTTATATTCCAATTTTGTATTTGTCATTTGTAGCTATGTTCTGGATATATAGATGAAAATAATGTTGTTGGTAGTACGTCCCGCTAAAGAAAATGTTGTGTTTCATGGATCAGGTGTTGTGGCTAGTTATCATTAATTCAGGCTAATGATATCTTCTTGTGCTTAATTTTAAGATTGGGAGGTTAATTATCTCCTCATTTATCTGAATAATCTCTCTTCCCATCAATCTGCGGCATTACTAAAGATGCACCGTCTTGGAGAACTGCACAAAAAACTGGAATGATGAGCTTTGTTTTGGTCCTTAACAAGTTATCAAAAGATGACATTTTTTTTTTACTTTGAACAGCTACACCAGAGATTTACCTATAAAATTTCTCATTGAGACCTCATTTTGTTTTCTCTTCACATATTTCCATCATTCATGCTTTCATAACGGACAACATCTGGTTGCGCCAATTTGGTTCCTACAATTTATTATGTAATTCCATGTCTTTCATATTTGAGGAGTTTGTATGATATTTTATTGTTTTGACTTGTTGCTTGTTTCTTGTTCTTTGTCCATTCTGTTCACGCAGTGTTACATCTGTCTGAAGTTTCCTTTAGTGTGGTCTCAATTGAGGGTTTCCCTAAACATTTGGAGTGGGGTTACTGCTACTTCGTGTAACGGTTACCGTGGCAACCACATGTGAAAAAAAAGAGAAGTTACACCCAAAAATTAGGAAGTTTCAAAAACTGACATGGTATCGTGCAAGCTTTTTGCGATAACCAAAGCGTAACCACACGGTATTGCACACCAGTCAATTCTCAATGTGTTCCCACTCCTATGCATGTCTTGCTTGGCCCAGAAATTGCTGAATTGCAGCTCATTTCCTAGCCATTAATTACATATTTGCTTGTGCGGAGCGCGAAATTCCTGATATGGCGTGTGGTCCGAGGGGATTTCTACCACGCACACGTATACGCCATGGTGGGAAGCCGTACAACCGCCCCGAGTACGACACGCCCAGTGACAATCACATGCTTTGTAGTTTTCTATAATGTATAATAATAATAATAAAAATGTTGAGTTGAAAGTTTTAATATATGAGTTGAAAGTTTTCGAATTTTGAGTTCAAAGTTTTAAATTTCGAATAGGAAGTTTCAAAAATTGAGTTAAGATTTTTAAATTTTGAATTCAATGTTTTAAATTTGATTTGAAAGTTTTTATATCTTGAGTTGAAAGTTTTCAAATTTTGGTTGGAAGTTTCATGTTTTGACATGAAAGTTTTCAAATTTTGAGTTCAAAAACTGACATATTTTGGCTTGAAAATTTTCAATGTTTGAGTTCAAAAATTTTAAAACCTGAGTTGAATATTTTCAAATCTTGACTTAAAAGTTCAAATTTTGAGTTCAAAGTTCAAATTTGAGTTGAAAGTTAAAAAAATTTACTTGAAGGTTTCAGTTTTTTATGGGTCTTGAATTGAATTTTTAAATTTTCAATTCATTTAAAACACTAACAATGAGCCGACCAAACCCTAGGAGAAAAAAACATGATGGAGATTGAGAATGACAATCGATGCGCGTAAAAAAAACGTGCCTAAAAATGGATGGTGAAAAAGAGTTTCCGTATACTTTCTTGCATATGCGTGCCACTTAGGTAACTTGCACGTCTGCACAAACTAGGAGAAGTTGGCTAATGTTGATCCGGCGAGGGTAGACACTGAGGAGAAGCCCCGGTGGCGTCGGCTCCACTCTCCCCGGCAGCAGCAGCGACTCCACCATCAGGCGGCGACAGCGGCTTCCTCGTTGATTTTGCTCATGATTTGTGTGGATGTTTGTTTTATTCGTGATTGTGTTATTGTATTCTTGGGTGACTGGGATCTCATGCATGGGTGATTGGAGAGCTCTATGCATCTCGAACCGAGCCAATGCATCGAGCCAGTTTTTTTTTATTCTTAGGACCTCAAATGTGCCTTTGATTTCTCTCATCAGTGCCGTCTTCTAGGTGCCGGATGGGATGTCAGGTTTCCAACCGGCATCTATCTAGGTTTATGTAATAGTGATGTCAAGATTGGTGAGCAGCAGGCTCGCCGTCGTGCGGCACAAGATGGGAACTTTGTGTCGCTAGTAAAGCAGTATAGAATGATGCCGGTGGCACTGGTGGAGAAATGCTTTTTAAGTCCCGGTTCGTAACCCCCCTGTAGTCCCGGTTTTCCAACCGGGACTACGAATCCGGGACTAAATATCGCTATCTTTAGTCCCGGTTCAAATAACCGGGACTAAATATCAATCTTTAGTCCCGGTTGGTGCTCCATCTTTAGTCCCGGTTGATATTTTTTCTTTTTTTCTGCTTTTAATATTGAATATTGATTTCACACCATCCCCTCCCATATCCAAATCATCACGTATCACAGAACATCTCCAAATCCTCAAATCCTCAAACAAATCATCTCCAAATACATCACAAAGTCTTAAAAAAATTACATCACAAGGTTCTAAAAAATTCATCACAGATTCACATCTCACACAAAAATACATCACAGATTCACATCTCAAAAAAAAAAATCCGGCCGGCGGCCACTGCCGCCTCCCCTCCGCGCCGGCCGGCCGGCCGGCGCCGCACCGCCGCGTGGCCCCCCGCGCCGTAGCGCCGGTCGCCGCCGAGCGGCCCCCCGCGCTGCCGCCTCCGCGGCCCCCTGCGCCGCCGCGGCGCCCCCGGCACCGCCGCGCCGGCCGCCCACCGCAGCCGCCACGCGGCCCCCCGCGACGCCGCGCCGGCCTCCCGCCGCCGCCTCCGCGCCGTCCCCCGTGTCGCCGCCTCCGCGCCGGCCACCCGCCGCCGCCGCCGCCGCACGCTTCTGCACTGTGGATGAAGGAAAAAAAGGAAGGAGAGGAGGGGAGTTAGAGATAAGGAAAGAGATAAGAAGTTAGAGAGGAAAAAAGAGATAGAGGGAGGAGTTTGTTTTGTGGACGGGAAAAGAGGATCGGTAGTAAGGATTATATAGTGTGTTTTGATTTTTATTCCTGGTTTGTAACACCAACCGGGACTAAAAATAGGTTTTTAGTCCCGATTGGTGCTAGCCGGAACTAAAGATCATAGGGCATTGACACAGCCTGACATGGAATCAACCGGGACTAAAAATGAACTTTAGTCCCGGTTGGAGTTACCAACCGGGACTAAAGATGATTTTTGGTCCCAGTTGATAACAACAACCGGGACTACAGATCTTCCTCTTATTAATGGAACCGGGACTATTGTGGATTTGAGTCGACCGACCAAAGATGGTTTCTCTACCAGTGTGGTCTGTTGAAATGGATTTTATCGTGAGGTGGAAAATTTTTCTGCATCAGACATTAACCACACCGCCATCAAGTTTGGCAGGGAGGGCGATGGATACAGATCGTTAAGAAGATAAGCGAAGACTTGATAGTCCAAGTCTTCGGATGTATTTTTCCCCTTTGTTAATTATGGCTAATTAGCATCCAAGTACTCCCTCCGTATTTTAATATATGACGTCGTTGACTTTTTGACAAACGTTTGACCTTTCGTCTTATTCAAAAAATTTATGTAATTATAATATATTTTATTATGACTTGATTTATCATCAAGTTTTCTTTAAGCATGACATAAGTATTTTTACATTTGCACAAAAATTTTGAATAAGACGAGTGGTCAAACGTTAGTTAAAAAGTCAACGGCGTCATACATTAAAATACGGAGGGAGTAGAATTTATCAGTGCTGTACACCTTGCTCTCATCTTCTTATACCACTCATTTGAACTAACGAGAGAGGTAGCTCGAGTGACCGACCATACACACAAACAAAGTCGTAGTAGTTCATCCATGCCCCATGCCTCTCCACAGAAGTGCAGCTATCCGCAGCGCAGTCGATGGACATATTTGCCTAGTACTAATAATGCTATTTCTCATCAGTACAAAGCTTGCTGCTGATCAGCCCCTCGCGGCGGCTGAGCCAATCGCCCGATCATGCCACGACTGCGGCGGTGTACAGATCCCATACCCGTTCGGCGTCAGCTCAAGCGGCTGCGCCATGGCGCCTAGCTTCGAAGTCGACTGCAACGACACGGGGAACGGCGTCTCCAAGCCGTTCGTTGGAAACATCGAGGTCGTCTCCCTCGGCAATGGTCAGGCCCGGGTAATGAATCACGTATCTTCTTCCTGCTACAACCGCACGTCCCGACAGATGAACCCTGCGGACGTGTGGTATCTGAACCTCACGGGCACGCCCTACAGGCTCTCCGACTCGGCCAACAAGTTCACGGTCATCGGGTGCCGGACGCTGGCCTACACCTTCGACGATTACAACGTGGGCAAGTACATGAGCGGGTGCGTGTCCGTCTGCCGGCGAGGTGACTTGAGCAGCGCCATCAACGGCAGCTGCGTCGGGATAGGCTGCTGCCAGACAAACATCACGACGGGTCTAAGCTATTATCAGGTCATGTTCGACTACACCTTACACATCCGGGGTCTACAACCACACCCCCTGTAGCTACGCGGTGCTCATGGAATCGTCTAGCTTCACCTTCAAGATTCCAACGGCTGTCAAGGTAAATACTCCCTCCGTTTCGAAATGTTTGACGCCGTTGACTTTTTTAAATATGTTTGACCGTTCGTCTTATTCAAAAAATTTAAGTAATTATTAATTTTTTTCCTATCATTTGATTCATTGTTAAATATATTTTTATGTAGGCATATAATTTTACATATTTTACAAAAGTTTTTGAATAAGAAGAACGATCAAACATGTGCTAAAAAGTCAACGGTGTCAAATATTTCGAAACGGAGGGAGTATTACGCCTATAACAATACATGATAGTGAAAGATTAATATAAATTGTAATTGCACAGTTCTTTCCTCTGATAATTTTTTTTCTCTTTACCCAAGTTGACTGGTTCGGTTAATTATTTTCAATCCTATAATTGGCTCGTGTACCCCTTTATTGTCAACTTTTGTCTTTTATTTGCCATTTTGTTAGTCGTCCATAACGTTAGTAGATGGATGAAAAGACGATTCTGCCCCAGTGTATTATTTTTTATGTACCAACACAATTTATTTATTAATTATAAATAAATAAACTATAAATTAGATTTTCATAGTACTCACCCGTCTCAAATTATAGGCTTCTATTTTTTTACACGGTGTTTGTTGATATACTTTGACAATTAATTTATTTTATGTTATGTTCCCAATGAATATAAAATTTGCATCACATAAAAGTAATTAAAAATATGAATCTAGTGATACAACATACATAATACTTAGCATGGTTAGTACGATTATTAGTTAAAAGTTATCGAGTTTGATTTTTTCTTAAAGAGAGAGTGCCCTATAATTTGGGACAGAGAGAGTAAGAATTAAGATTAATTGTTGTAAAATAAATTATAAAAAAAATATATAAACCATGTCACTTTTCAAAAGGTTAATCAAATATATAAAGGAAATTGATGGTCAATGTTTAAAGAGTTGATTACACTTTAGACCAGTTTTTTTTTTGAAAAAAAAAACATTACGCTTTGGACTACTGGAGCCACAAATAGGTGGCCTAGAGGGTCCTCCCTCAGCCCGATTCGGTGCATGCCGGTGAGCCCTCTTTTCATGACATTGGCGAGGTTCGTTCCTTCACTGCCAAATAATGAGCTTGAGCGCTCGATCTCGGGAGAAACAGGTGAAGGCGGATGAGCCTGTGTGTACCAAAGGGCCGTGCTCAACATTCATGGCTTCGTGCGAAGGGGACCAAGCCACGAAGGTATTTTCGCATGCAGTTGGGCGGGCTGCATGGTAGAAAAGGTCTGCAAAAATCACGATTTTCACATGTGGCCCGCACAACCGCATGTGAAAATCCGATTTTCACCGGCCGCACGCGAAAAGGAAAAATCGCGAAATAAAATAAAAATTCCAAACATAGAAAAATTAATACACCCGCCGCCGCTCCGCCATTGTCCTCCAGTCGTCGTTGCCGTCGCCGTCATCCTCATCCTCCAGTCATCGCCGTCGTCCTCAAGCCGCCATCACCACCGTTGACATTGTCCTCCTCCCGTCACGGCGAGGAGGCACCAGGAGGGCCGCCGCTGGCGGATTGGTGCGGGGAGGGCCACCGCCGGCAGATCAGGACGGGGAGAGCAGCAGCCGGCGGATCCGGGAGGGGGAGGGCCGCCGCCGTCGCCCACGCCCGCCCCAGACGTGGCCCTCGCCCACTGCCGCCGCCGGAGTCCGCATCGCGAGGCGGTGCCCGCTCCCGGCGCCTCCCGCTCTGTGAGAGAAAGAGAGGGAGGAGAGGAAGAAAAAGAGAGGGAGAGGAGAAAATGAGAGAGATAGAGGTGAAGTAAGAGAGGGGAAAATATCAGAGTGTTGAGAGAGGAGAGGATATGAGGTGAAAAATTTTGAAGTGGTGAGGAGGGATAAATTTTTGCATGCGGACCCTAAAGAGATCCGAAAATAGATTTTCGCATGCGGATCGTTAAAAGGCCTGCATGCGAAAATAGACTCATTTTTACTTGCGGCCCCTTAAGAGGCCCGCCTGCGAAAATAGATTTTTGCATGCGGGTCTCTTAAGGAACCGTATGCGAAAATGGAGGTCGAATTTTACAGATGCTACCAATTACGGTCCGTCTGCCATCTAAAGGCGTCCTCGTACAGAAAGTTTATGTAGTAGTGATAGTTTGTCAATTTTTCTAATCTATGCCAATAAAGTGAATGATCTTTTAGAAAACAAAATTTAATGGTTGTTGAGGAGGTAGTATAAATTTTGGTAACTTAAAACTGGGTACTTCCCCAGTACCTTTGAAGAACCATTAAATTTGTCCTTGCAGATGTTCAAATATATTTGTAAATAGAAATGGGGCAAATATAAGGCGGAGAGCACATCTTTGAAGCCTGGTGGTAACCATGCAAACAACATCTAGAAAGTTCTAAAAAAATCTCAAAAAGTTCACACATATAGATAATATGATATTAGAAAATCATACAAAACTACAAGACCAAACTTGACTGTTGTGATATAAAAATAGTAAATAGTGAAGAAAAAGAGAAACAGTAGGAATGATATAAAACATTAATGTTATTTCATAGTGGCTTGGTAATTTTAATTTATATCTCACAGACAAAGTTGAATTTGGTAGTACATTTTTGTATGCATATGGTTGTCTAATATCATCTTATCTATATGTGTGAATATTTTGATTTTTTTTTCAACTCTATACAAAAGTTTACGAGTTTGCACCAAATATATGATTTCCACTACATATTGACAACTAAAATGCCTCAGTATACATATTTCCAACAAATAAGAAAATATTATATATAGCCAACTTGTGCAGTATATAAGTCTTGTATATTTGTTAATTAAGTTTGTTTTTTTTTCATTAGATTTTTTGTTCAGCATATGAAGAGCAATCGTTTGCAGAAATGATAATAGCACAAAATGTTTTTGGGCAGCTTATGAAAGATGATTCATGTACACGAAAACAATGAAAATATTTTGTGTAGCATATAAGAGGCAAATTATATTTCCAAAATAATTATCTTGCAAAAAATATAATATTTTTCTTTCTAAATGCCTTTGTATTTGATTATACTGTAGATATTAATGAATGCCAAGATTCTAATAATTACCCTTGTCACGGAGAATATGCCATAACAAACCCGGCGATTTTGATTGTTTCTGCCGTGCGGGTAGCCGAGGAAATGCAACTATTCCTGGAGGATGTCGGAAGGACTTCTTACCTCTAAAAGCACAGCTGGCAATTGGTAGGGCACGTATTATTCCAACTCAGTTGCTGTTGCATCTTATGATCTGCTTGATCTGGTCATGGACTTCTCAATAACATCAATATAAAAACACTGGTGCTAAAATGCTTGCTTAAATCTTTTTTTTACTAATGATAAATCTTCGCTCTCTAGGAATTGCTGCATGTGTGTTGGCTGGCCTGTTTGCTTTCCTTGGATGGGAAGTGATTCGGCACAAAAGGAGCATTAGAAAACAAGCTTTGTTAAGACAGACTGATGAGTTTTTTTCAACAACATGGAGGCCAACTATTGCTAGAAATGATGAAAGCAGAAGGCAATATCGGGTTCACACTCTACAAGAGAGTGGAGATAGAGATTTTCCCAGACGAGGAGCTGCAGGCAGGCCGGGTGACCGCACAGGATAATCTATCCTACCGCCCGGAATAATGGGTATTGTAGTAGTGCTACTACTAGAAGACATGCATATATAGACTTAGAACAAGTCCAAGCCATGATAGGATCAGTAGAATGGAAGATGAACTAGAACGTACCGTCTGTAAAAAAAAAAAAAGATAAATCCTGGTTATGTATTTGAACATGAGATACATAACTACGATTTGTCTATTATTGGGATAGGGAGAGTAGAGGCCTACAGCCAACTGCGAGAGAAGTTGGAGCGGCATAGAGATTCCTTAATTATCCGTCTGGTGGCCTGAACACTGCCTGTGCTTTGTCCGGCTTCAATCTCAGCTGCAACACCACAGGGTACGGTAATTATTGCCACAATAACCACAGGAGATGGTCATTAGCTAGATTTAACCAATAAAACGCCACACAGATTTTCCAACACTAGCATCAAGTTCACAACCATGGCCGCGTGCCAAACACTCACTTACATCGATATGGATCAAGCAGATGAGTTAGATATCTATCATCTCTCTCTAGGCCAGTTCTGTGCTCATCACGGCTTTCTTCTCAAGGCTGTAAACCCCGCTAGTCTTGCTGTCGATCAGTTTGCCATGAGGACGTTGAACGTGTATTTGCCATCTCTGTCATAAACCTAATTAAGACCCGGAAGCACCAGCAGTGGCTGTGGACATTGCTGCACTTCATCAGCTAATGCTAGTTGGTCAAGCTCCTCTGCCACATGCCTCATCTCTGGCCTTGTCGTACCTAGAATAGTCAAGAATTGACTCGACCGCTAGCGCTGCAGCACGATGGATCACTCTCACGTTGTCTTCATTAATTATGTAACTATCAAGGAGCTCGTTGCCATCCGTTACAGCCTCATCCTATATATATATATATATATACTTATATAGTTTATCCCTACTAAATGTAGTTAATATTATTTCTCTCTTATCTCATGAAGCCACATCATCCCAAGTATTTTTAGTCTTTGGATAATAGATCTATGGTAAAAATAGTCTCTTCTTTCTTCTCTCCTCAAACCATACAAACCTCAATTGTTTTTATTCAAAATTCATAAGTATCAATTACATAAAATATGTTCACCTTGCAATATATTTGCAATCATGTGTTAATTATATAAAACATAGGAAGTCATTTTATTTTGGTTTACAAAATATAATATAGCTTATTTGTACATACTATACAACTTAATTTCCGGCAGCAACTCGATGGGGTATTCATCTAGTTATATTAAAAATTGAGGTCAAGGTCTTCGTTTCTTTAGACAGTGGCCTTTTACCGGTCAGATGTTCAACCAAAGTTACTCCAAAACTATACACATCATTCTTAACTAGTTGATACCTCCACGTATTCCTAGGGGAATTTCTAAGAGATCAACACTAACATTGTATGATAGGACAGTTAGTTCAAAACTAATAAAGATACAATTACAATAGATCACATCCATGGATCCTGTCAATCTTAGTGATAAAACAAAGACATCATGCTGTAGTATAAGAAGAAAGTATTGACACTTGACAGCTCATGAAAAATTGCAATCGTTGTGATGGCATCCTTTTTTATCGAGCCAATTAATATGCTAGCTAGTAACCATAAATGTCATGAAAACATTAACTTAAGTTTTCCATGAAACAATACGTTCAAACAAAATTGAGTTAAAACGCTTATATCAATAGCTGTTGATCAAAGGAAACGCAGGCTAATGAAAAATCATAAGAATGGTGTAACATTCACGGCCTAATGATTGAAAATGGCACACCTGGGTTTCTACATTGGAAACAGTGGCAATCGTGCCTACAGTGGTAAAGCAAACCGAGGCTTTGCTTCGACATGAGGAAATGCTATGGTAGTGCATTTAGAAATTTTACTATTGGTATACACACGTGATTTCAGAATTTCATTTTGGAACATATTGCAGCTGGCAAGCGCTTACCTCAAGAGCATAAGATAAAATGGCCAAGTAGTGCAATAGGGATGATAGTGTCCCTATTAGATGGATATATCAATCAGATAACCCAGTCAAAACAAATAGTAAAAACCCTCCTCGTAAAAGGATGGCTTGCTCTTAAAGAAGATTGAATTCTTTTTAAAAATTCAGTAAATTAAACATTAAACACCAAACCATTTCAGAAGTGGTTGTGAACTTCCCTGGACAAAATAGACATACGAAAGAGAGAGATCTTACTCAATAATTTTCCATGCAATGGAAAAAAAAATCGATTTCTAACATGTTTTAAAAAAATGAACTGACAGGACTTAGTGCATATAATGCAATTGAGAACTAATGAATCATACTGTTAAATTCAAGCTCCTATGTTCTTAAAAAAACACAAAGCCAAATCAATTGAAATTGTAAACTGACTGAAGATAAAGAAAGGAAGGAGTTACCAAGATGGCTGGATCCACCCGAAACATGTGCAGAAGACCTAGCAGACCGAGAATCACTGCTATGAAAACCATCTTTCGTGGCGGCTATTTTGGGTTTTTACTAGCGGAATTTGAAGCCGCCACAAAGCAAAGGCAAGTGAAAAATCAAGATCTTTGCTAGCGGTTATTGACCGCCAGCGATAATTCATTTTCGTTGGCGGTCGTCTTAAGCCAATGTGTCAGCCACTAATGTTAATGCTGGCCAAGTTTTAAAAAAATGATGGACGGAGCGACACGGCTCCATCCGCCTCTGTCAATGCTCCACCATTCAAAAATTTCACAAAAATTTACCCAAGCATTAAAAAAATCCACAAAAATTTACATTCACCCAAACATTCGAGCATCACAAAAATTTGAAGTCGTTGTCGTGGCGCGGCAGATCCGGCCTCCCAGGTCATCGCGCAGCAGATCCAGCCACCCCCATCGTCGCGGTGGCGGATCCGGCCTCCCCCGTCGGTGTCGTCGGCTGATCCAGCCTCCCCTATTGTCGCGACGGCCGGATCCAGCTGGCCCCGAGCTAACACCAAATTCTCAACCCATAGGAGGACGTCTCCAAGGAAGCTAACACCAAAGAAGAAACCAAGAATCTAAATGTATTGTAGGTGGCCAACCTGAGCTGGGAATGTTGTGCGCAACTTTCATATACGTAACTGGAAAAATTCGGGCATGTAAACTATCTCAAATTTAAATGTTATCAGTTTTAAAGTTATAGATCTCGAGATCTACAACTTTCATATAGGGTATGCCTCTGTCTAAGGTTGTTTGAAAATTTCAAAAATTTAAAGTTTTTTCTCATCCGTGACAGTTCGTAACTGTCACCCTTCATAGATTACGTTATCCGTGAAGGGTGTTAATTAAAACCCGTCACGGATGAGTGCTCTCATCTTTGATGGGTCATCTCATTACACCCGTCACGGATGAGATATTGTCCGTGATGGGGCATGGTTGTGACCCGTTATAGGTCATCCGTGATGTGTTAGAATTATGACATGACAAATGTGACTTATATCGGTGACGGATTATCCCCGATAATTATATCTTAAACATGATACCTTTTGAACCGTTAGAAATGAGTTATCGGGAACGGGTCGAGCTACATTAGCTCGACATATACAGATGTCTCGTCAAGGATGGCTGAATCTGTACAAGTGTCGTGAGGTGGAAAATTTCTGCATGGACATTAATCACAACGCCATCAAGTTTTCCAGGGAGGGAGTGGAAGACGATGGGTACAGATCATTAGGAAGATAAGCGAAGACTTGATTTAGTCCAAGTCTTCGGATGTATTTTCCCTTTTGTTAATTATGGTTAATTAGCATCCAAGTAGAAATTATCAGTGCTGTACCTTGCTCTCATCTTCTTATACCACTCATTTGAACTGACGAGAGAGGTAGCCAAATAAAAAGTAGTAGTTCATCCATGCACCCATGCCTCCCCACAGAAATGCAGCTATCCGCGGCGCAGTCGATGGACATATTTGCCTACTAATAGTGCTATTTCTCATCAGCATAAAGCTCGCGGCGGGCGGGCCAATCGCCCGATCATGCCAGGACTCCGTCTGCGGCGGCGTACGCATCCCATACCCGTTCGGCATCAGCTCAAGCGGCTGCGCTATGGCGCCTAGCTTCGAAGTCGACTGCAACAATACGGCGAACGGTTTTAAGCCGTTCGTTGGAAATGTCGAAGTCATATCCCTCAGCAATGGTCAGGCCCGGGTAATGAATCACGTATCTTCTTCCTGCTACAACCGCACGTCCCGACAGATGAACCCTGCGGACGTGTGGTATCTGAACCTCACGGGCACGCCCTACAGGCTCTCCGACTCGGCCAACAAGTTCACGGTCATCGGGTGCCGGACGCTGGCCTACACCTTCGACGATTACAACGTGGGCAAGTACATGAGCGGGTGCGTGTCCGTCTGCCGGCGAGGTGACTTGAGCAGCGCCATCAACGGCAGCTGCGTCGGGATAGGCTGCTGCCAGACAAACATCTCAACGGGCCTAAGCTATTACGAGGTCATGTTCGACTACACCCTGAACACATCCGGGATCTACAACCGCACCCCCTGTAGCTACGCGGTGCTCATGGAATCGTCTAGCTTCACCTTCTCAACCACCTACCTAACTTCACGGGCGTTCAACACCTCCTATGGTGGCCAGGCTCCGCTGGTGCTTGATTGGGCTATCCGGACTGCTAACAACTGCGTGGAAGCACAAAAAAATCCTGCGTCGTACGCGTGCAAAGGTGACTATAGCGTCTGCCTCAACTCCACCAACGGACCAGGATACATATGTAACTGCAAAAAGGGATACCAAGGCAATCCCTACCTTCAAGATTCCAACGGCTGTCAAGGTAAATATTATGCCTATAACAAATACTCCCTCCGTATTTTAATGTATGACGCCGTTGACTTTATAACCAACGTTTCTTTATTTTAATGTATGACTCGTCTTAGTCATGCTTGAAGAATATTTGATGATAAATCAAGTCACAATAAAATAAATTATAATTACATAAAAGACGAAAGGTCAAACGTTTGTCAAAAAGTCAACGGCGTCATATATTAAAATATGGAGGGAGTACATGTTAGTGAAAGATTAATATAAATTGTAATTGCACAGTTCTTTCCTCTGAGAATTTTTTTTCTCTTTGCCCAAGTTGACTGGTTCGGTTAATTATTTTCAATCCTATAATTGGCTCGTGTACCCCTTTCTTGTAGTCAACTTTTGTCTTTTATTTATTTGCAATTTTGTTAGTCGTCCATAACGTTAGTAGATGGATGAAAAGATTTTGCCCCAGTGTATTATTTTTTTATGTACCAACACAATATTTTATTAATTATAAATAAATAAACTATAAATTAGATTTTCATAGTACTCCATCCATCTCAAATTATAGGCTTATATTTTTTACACGGTCTTTATTGATATACTTTGACAATTAATTTATTTTATGTTATGTTCCCAACAAATATAAAATTTGCATCACATGAAAGTAACTTAAAAATATGAATCTAGTGATATAGCATAATATTTAGCATGGTTAATATGATTATTAGTTAAAAGTTATCAAGTTTGATTTTTTTCTTAAACAGAGAGTGCGCTATAATTTGGGACAGAGAGGGTAAGAGTTAAGATTAATTGTTGTAAAATAAATTATAAAAAAAAATATAAACCATGTCACCTTTCAAAAGTTGAATCAAATATATAAAGGAAATTGATGGTCGATGTTTAAAGAGTTGATTACACTTTAGACCAGTTTTTTTAAAAAAACTTTAAGCTTTGGACTACTGGAGCCACAAATAGAGGACCCTCTGCCCGATTCGGTGCATGCCGGTGAGCCCCTCTTCTCACAACATTGGCGAGGTTCGTTCCTTCACTGCCAAATAATGAGCTTGAGCGCTCGATCTCGGGAGAAACAGGTGAAGCTAAGGCGGATGAGCCTGTGTGTCCCAGAGGGCCGAGCTCAACATTCATGGCTTCGTGCGAAAGGGACGAAGCCACGAAGGTTGAGCTCAGCCCTTGGGGTGGTGGATCAGAGGAGTTGGAGCTCGAGCTCAAGGAAGGACATCATGTCCTTTGCCAAGCCTACTGACCTCCCCGTTCTCATTTTCCCTGTTGGCAAGGAGCCAGTGAGTAAAAGCATAACATTATTCATGCATGTTTCATGCAGTATAATAAATTTAAAGGATTTTACAGAGCAGAATATTTCAAAAATAACATACAGGTGAAATATACCGGAATTTTGACAAAATAACCAACTCATTTCAAGAATAAACCATGCCAAAAACTAATTTCAAGAAAAAACCACGTGTTCAGCATCAAACTCGATGGAGTGGATCTATAACGTATTAGCACCAAAAATGTTGACGCTGATAGTATGAGGTGAAAGGTTGTTTTGCCATGTCATATGGGGTTAGTGGTAGAAGCATTGGCACTGACCTCTGGTCCACTGCGGTTGTTAAAAAATTCAGCTACATTCACCAAACGAGATTGATGTTGTTAAAAAAGTTCGAACTGTATCATTTTTTTCTTTACATGCATATTTTTTCTACCGCTACGCTGAAAGTTGTGATCTCTTTCATATTTATATCATAATATAATATATTTATTTTGACAAAAAATAATGTAGTTATCAAGTTATAATGAATGAAAAATATCTCAATAAAGTTCTAGAACATGTAATATATGACCTTTTCATAGTTTCTCAAGTTCGAAATAAAGTAAATTTATAAACAGAATTTGTTATTTTAGAGAGATAATTGGTTAGAGTCACGGTGTAAAGTATAAGTATATGCTTGCTACAACAAAACATTGAAAAAGGGGGCTAGGCGTGGATGAAAGCAAAAATCACAAGTCACCTGGCTAGGTCAGTAAATCTGGTAAATACTGGCTGTAGAGCTTTTTATACTGTAAAGAGGTGATCAGCCCTGCTAACAAGCATGACAAAACCACGCTACCTCATACCATAGCTCAGTGCCAATATCTATGGCACCAATACGTTATATGTCCGCACCATCGAGTTTGGCGCAGAGCTCGTGGTTTATTTTAGGATTTAGTTTTTGGCACGATATATTTTTCAAATATGTTGGGTAAAACGGTTAATTTGTCAAAATTTTGGGACATATTAAATACTCCAATTTATCTCTATATATGTAATACACGTCACATACACTACTACAAATATCGTTTTTGCAAACGGACAAAACGTATTTTCGCATGCAGTTGGGCGGGCTGCATGGAAGAAAAGGTCTGCAAAAATCACGATTTTCACATGTGGCCCGCGCAACCGCATGCAAAAATCCGATTTTCACCGGCCGCACTCGAAAAGGAAAAATCGCGAAATAAAATAAAAATTCCAAACATAGAAAAATTAATACACCCGCCGCCATTCCTCCATTGTCCTCCAGTCACCGTCGCCATCATCCTTATCCTCCAATCGTCGCCGTCATCCTCAAGCCGCCGCCACCACCGTCGACATTGTCCTCTTCCCGTCACGGCGAGGAGGCACCAGGAGGGCCGCCGCCAGCGGATCCGGGTGGGGGAGGGCCGCCGCCGCCGCCCACGCCCGCCCCTGCTGTGGCCCTCGCCCACTGCCGCGCCGGAGTCCGCGTCGCGAGGCGGTGCCCGCTCCCGGCGCCTCCCGCTCGGTGAGAGAAAGAGAGGGAGGAGAGGAAGAAAATGAGAGGGAGAGGAGAAAATGAGAGAGATAGAGGGGAAGTAAGAGAGGGGAAAATATCAAGAGTGTTGAGAGAGAAGAGGATAAGAGGTGAAAAATTTTGAAGTGGTGAGGAGGGAAAAATTTTTGCATGCGGACCCTAAAGAGATCCGAAAATAGATTTTCGCATGCGGATCGTTAAAAGGCCTGCATGCGAAAATAGACTCATTTTTACATGCGACCCCTTAAGAGGTCCGCCTATGAAAATAGATTTTTGCATGCGGGTCTCTTAAGGAACCGTATGCGAAAATGGAGGTCGAATTATGCCGCCAATTACGGTCCGTCTGCCGTCTAAAGAGGTCCTCGTACAGAAAGTTTATGTAGTAGTGATAGTTTGTCAATTTTTCTAATCTATGCCAATAAAGTGAATGATCTTTTAGAAAACAAAATTTAATGGTTGTTGAGGAGGTAGTATAAATTTTGGTAACTTAAAACTGGGTACTTCCCCAGTACCTTTGAAGAACCATAAAATTTGTCCTTGCAGATGTTCAAATATCTTTGTAAATAGAAATGGGGCAAATATAAGGCGGAGACCACATCTTTGAAGCCTGGTGGTAACCATGCAAACAACATCTAAAAAGTTCTAAAAAAATCTCAAAAAGTTCACACATAAAGATAATATGATATTAGAAAATCATACAAAACTACAAGACCAAACTTGACTGTTGTGACATAAAAATAGTAAATAGTGAAGAAAAAGAGAAACATTAGGAATAATGTTATTTCATAGCGGCTTGATAATTTTAATTTATATCTCACAGACAAAGTTGAATTTGGTAGTACATTTTTGTATGCATATGGTTGTCTAATATCATCTTATCTATATGTGTGAATATTTTGATTTTTTTTTTGAAGTCTAGACAAAAGTTTACGAGTTTGCACCAAATATATGATTTCCACTACATATTGACAACTAAAATGCCTCAGTATACATATTTCCAACAAATAAGAAAATATTATATGTAGCCAATTTGTGCAGTATAGAAGTCTTGTATATTTGTTAATTAAGTTTGTTTTTTTAATTAGATTTTTTGTTCAGCATATGAAGAGCAATCGTTTGCACCAATGATAATAGCACAAAATGTTTTTGGGCAGCTTATGAAAGATGATTCACGTACACGAAAACAATGAAAATATTTTTGTGTAGCATATAAGAGGCAAATTATATTTCCAAAATAATTAATCTCGCAAAAAATATAAAATATATATACATAAACTTCTATGTCACGCAAGGAGCCTATAAATAATTTTCATAATTTTCAGAAACGTATAGTTGATTCAATTAGTTGTCTAGGCATTCAACTTTTTTCTTGAAATTATCTTATTTTTCTATATATTTTCTAAAGACGTGAAAGGAGAGAGGGCAGAACAGTTAGCAGAGTGGGCCACCTTGTTTCCTGCTATTCTCTGCTCCCTCCATCCAATAAAAAACTAACCTAGTACTGTAGTACTGGTTGGGATATATTTTAGTATTACGAATATGCACGTACCTTTATTAAATTCATTGTACTAGAATGTGTCACATCCTGTTCTAGACTCGTTTTTTTGGGACGGGGGGAATATTTTACAGTTCTGTATAGTTTGTACATACATTCTTTACTTATTATAAGTATACCGTATAACTATATATTTTCTTTCTAAATGCCTTTGAATTTGATTATATTGTAGATATTAATGAATGCCAAGATTCTAATAATTACCCTTGTCACGGAGAATGCCATAACAAACCTGGCGATTTTGATTGTTTCTGCCGTGCGGGTAGCCGTGGAAATGCAACTATTCCTGGAGGATGTCGGAAGGACTTCTTACCTCTAAAAGCACAGCTGGCAATTGGTAGGGCACATATTATTCCAACTTAGTTGCTGTTGCATCTTAAGATCTGCTTGATCTGGTCCTGGACTTCTCAATAACATCAATATAAAAACTGTACTGGTGCTAAAATGCTTGCTTAAATCTTTTTTTACTAATGATAAATCTTCGCTCTCTAGGAATTGCTGCATGTGTGTTGGCTGGCCTGTTTGCTTTCCTTGGATGGGAAGTGATTCGGCACAAAAGGAGCATTAGAAAACAAGCTTTGTTAAGACAGACTGATGAGTTTTTTCAACAACATGGAGGCCAACTATTGCTAGAAATGATGAAAGCAGAAGGCAATATCGGGTTCACACTCTACAAGAGAGTGGAGATAGAGACCGCAACAAAAAACTTCAACAAGGCACAAATCATCGGTGAAGGAGGGCAAGGAACAGTCTACAAGGCAGTCTTAGATGGAACTGTTGTCGCGATAAAAAAGTGCAAGGAGATTGACGAGAGTAGGAAGATGGACTTCATGCAAGAGTTGGTCATACTTTGTCGTGTCAACCATCCTAACATTGTCAAGTTGCTCGGCTGCTGCCTACAGTTTGAGGCGCCTATGCTTGTCTATGAATTCGTGGAAAATAAAACATTACAGGAGCTGCTTGACCTCCAGAGAAGCAAGAGGTTCCATGTCACGCTGGGAACCCGCCTAAGGATAGCTGCCGAATCAGCTGATGCACTTGGGCATCTCCACTCACTACCACACCCAATACTCCATGGTGATGTAAAGCCAGCCAACATCCTTCTTGCTGAAGGATTGGTAGCAAAGGTGTCTGACTTTGGGTGTTCAACTATTGATGAGAAAACACAATCTATGCTTAAAGGCACACCTGGGTATATTGACCCAGAGTACCTGCTTGAGTATCAGCTCACAGCCAAGAATGATGTCTACAGTTTTGGTGTCATTCTTCTTGAGCTTCTAACAAGTAAGAGGCCATTGTCAAAAGAAAGTAAGACATTGGCGTCAATGTTTCAGGAGGCTATGATGGATGGAACATTCCATGAGCTTCTTGATAGCGAAATAATAGATGAAGCAAGCATGGGAGTCCTACATCAGATTGCGGTTCTGGCGATTCAATGCTTGGCTCTTCCTGGAATGTCAAGGCCGGTGATGGAGCAAGTCGCAAAGGAGCTTCGTCGATTAGCACTATCAGATGAAGTGCAGCAATGCCCACAGCCGCCTCTGGTTCTCGAGGGTCTCAACTTTGCAGTGATGGGTAGCATGTGTACAACTTCCTTGTTGTACACCGAGGGCAATAGCACCGGAGTTTATGATCTTGAGAAGAAAACCGTGATGAGCACAGAATTTGCCAGATGATCGATTGTGTGTGTGCTATATTGATTGCTTTACTTTGTATGCTTGTACGCTTGTGTTAGGTTTGAGTGTTCTTCAATACTTATGGAGGTGGAAGATCTAGCTCCAACATTAGTCATAAGGACAAAGATCCTGCAAGACAATAATGTAATGCTATAAGTAGGTACTTCAAACATTATTAGAAGTGTTGTAATAAAACTAATAATGACAGCTATCTATATATGTGAAAGTAGTGTTTATTAGATGTGTTGTAAAAGATTCTTGAATATGTTGGTGTGGGTTTAGTGTCTGATTTATCGATTGCTCTATATCATCTGCAAACATGTAGAGTAGTATTTATTAATGTAAGCATGGTGCTTAGATTACTAAATATCACTATCTGGGCATATATGCTACGGGACTGTAGAGGTGGGCCGTTGATGGTGACAGCTCAGTACGGATATTCCTCCACGTTAGTATATATTTCTAAGACAAATTCTTGGGGAGGGTACTCCTCCGTATTTAGCCCCGATTGGACGGCCATGACAGGCTGTCGTCATAAACACGGCAACCCGGGATGGTCTCTTGAAACACCAGGAACGCACTGTTAGGGGGTATTGGCCACATGATTATATACTAGCAAATGTAAATTAGAGATTGAGCGTGTATTAGAAGTATAAGAATTGATTACTTTCCATCTCTTCTTCTATTTAGTTAGAATTATTTATTAGAATGAATCTAAAAGCTTTGCTTTGTGTCATTCTACTTAGACTTTGATGAAGGCAAATATTATATTTGTATATGACTATTAGCATGGTTCTCTCTTTCAAATCTTCCCTTGAGATAAGATAAATATGATACCTTAGAATACATCCGGGTGAAATGCTACCATGGTATATCCATGAGCTTGTAGATTACTTCTGTAACCATAAATATATCATGACTTTCTACGTCATTGCTGGGAATGAATATTTCTAGTAATGTCGTTAAGAAATACCAACATTGGGCCTATTGCAACGTGGTTTAGTGTTGGGTAGTGATATTTTAATATTGCTTAATTATATCTATTATTTAAACTATATTCAAATTATGATTTATAAATGTTGCTTTTATGCAAATATCCTATAGCCTATCCTTTGTGAATATCTTGCATCATACCTTCTCATTGGTATGACTTGTTGAGTACGGTGGTTGGTACTCAGTCTTGCTTTATTTTTCCCCAGAAGCAGAGAATTATTTAGATGGTGAGTTCTATGAGGATTAAGGTTGTTTCGGACGTTAAGGATGCCTGTGGTTTACGGAGGAAGCTATGCTTTATCCTGAAGATCAGAGTTTAGAGTTTTTGCTTATTTTCCACCGTGTTTGTAAGAATTATTTAATATTTTTTGTATAAGACGTGGATCTATTTATCAATTTGTCGTTTCTGTACTCTAGCTAGTTCTGGAAAGAGATTTTAATACACATTCTGCTTGAAATTTGGATAGCGAATTTCTGGGTGTGAAGAGTGCTGCTCGATTATTGGATGAATCGCTCGAGCGGAGGCCGGCCACCATCCTCCGGCCAACTCCGGCGGCGGAGGAGAGTGCTAATAAAACCATCGCCTCGCGTCCTGGGCCTCCTGGGCCTTCTGTTGGGTACTGGGCCTCCTGGGCCCTCTGTTGGGTCGTGGCCCTCTCTGGTCTCTTTATTCATTTTCCATTTTTTCCCCTCTCCTTTGCTTCTTCAAGTATAAAATACTGGCATAGGTTTTTCTCCAAATAAAATGAGAATTTTGATAATATATTGCAAAGGAACCACACGTAAAGTTTCTTCAAAAATAAATATTCTATTTTTTTAATCCTTACACCGTGAAAAGCCTATTTTCACATGAACTAAAAACTGCCCTTTGTTTCAATTTTAACCTTTTAAGTAGGTCCAAACTGTTCCTAATAAAATGTAGCCTCTTAATTACCTGCATCTCCAAACTCATTTTCTTTTGGAAAAATAAAACACCTCCCATAGAGAGGTTCATAATGTTACTAATCTCCATTCACTTTTAAAGAGGCGGTAGTATACGCGCTATGTCACTTCCACGATGCAGATACACCAAGCGACATTTTTCTCTAAATTAACCATGTTAATAACTTTCTATAAAAAAAATAAATTTTGCCTCGAGTTTCTTTAAAGAATATTTAGTACAAAGTTGATACTTTTTGAGTTGTAAGTTTAAAATTCGAATTCATAGTTTCAAATTTTGGGTTCAAAGTTCCAGGTTATTAGTAGAATTTATACTCGGATTTTAAAATTTGAGATGAAAATTTCCGTTCAAAATGTATCTATTGCTTAAATCTCAAAAATTATTGCACGGCAGGAATCAGGTAAATTTCTGCAAATACATTATGCGCAAAGTCTTCATCCCAAGTGATTGAACGTGCATACATACCGAACAATTTCAACGACTGATTATTGATATATCATATTCCTATTAAAAACGGCAATAAATTAGATCAGAAGACGATGGGGAGTAGCTGAGTTTTGACTCCAAAAGTAGTGCAAAATGAAAATCCTGAGGCTGAATGATATGAACTTCAATGCAAAATATGAAAATTAGCAGAATTTAGGATATTCATTCATGGGAAGGATCCTTTCCAAAATACTCCCACTGTTTCATAATGTAAGTCATTTTAGCATTTCCCACATTCATATGGATGTTAGTGAATCTACGCATATATACATATATCTAGATTTATTAACATCCATATGAATATGGGAAATGTTAGAATGACTTATATTATGAAACGGAGGGAGTACACCATAAGATGCTCTTACTCTAGAGCTGACCACAGGAATTAAGTGCTACTTCCTCCGTTTCACAATGTAAGTCATTCTAGCATTTCTCACATTCATATTGATGTCTGAAAACTATATCATCACCAACATTGTAGTGTTCGGGATTCAGCCAAAGTGAGATGCTTTTAAGATTCTTGCAGGTCTGGGATAGTGCAATCATGTCACTGTCAATAAGACCACTGACATACTCCAGGCACAGCCTCTCTAACGCCTTGCACTTGCCCAACAGAAAACGAAGTCCGATTTCTGGGCCTTCTGGCTCTGTTACAAGATGCGCCAACCTCAAATCCTTCAAACTCTCGCACAACAGATCATACCTATAAGTATCAGCCTTGTATGATGGATCCCAATCTCGGTGGAAAAAACTCCAAAAGCCTTGCTCGTTTTCAAACTCAAATTTCCGAAGCTTCATCCATCCTGAGCCGAACTTTAAAAAGTGATACTGCCCTATTCCTTTGCAATTCTTCACTGCAAGTTCTTCCAATGATCCGTTAGCGCCAAGATGCTCCAACCACTCAGTGCTGCCAGCAATTCCCTTGCAATCGTTAAGGTAGACAGAAGATAGAGCCTTGCAACCAACAGCTAACAAGAGAAGCCCACTTGAAGTTAATTCTGGTATGGAGTTCAGCCTTAGAGACATCAACTTCTTGCAGTAAGTTAAGCAAGCGATACCAGGATCACTGATGTTTGAGCAGAAGCTTAAGGTGAGATCATTGAGCAAGGTACAGCGAGATGAAAGAAAAAGGAGACATTGGTTGTCGATCTGACTCCCGTTACCAGATGTCCAACCAGAGTAATCAATCTCTACTTTGAGCAAATTGGGAAACCGGGAACAAAGTGTTGGGAAAGCCTCTGTTGCAAGTCCACAATCAAGGCGAATAGTAGCCCTTTGCTCTGCATCGATGGTGTAGAGCTGCTTCGACACCAGGGAAAGAGAATTCAGATCGCTTGTCCGTGTTATCCTCGAGAATCTCTATGATCAGTTCCTCGGAGAGATGTTCCATTGAGAAATACAGCACTGCTAGCTAGTAGGTATTTCAAGGTGTAGCAGGTGTCCAGATCCCTGGATTAAAATTATTGAAATCATAATGAACCACATGAATACATGATGGAAAATTCACATAACGTATTTATACTAACGAAATTTAAAACTTATTTTCCTTTTGCTGTACATGTTTGTGCTTCACGATTCGATTTAAAGAAGTAACCTATTTATTCATCCACGAAATGATTAATTAAGATAGAAACTCTCAAAATCAGTTAACATAGAGCAACTTTTCAAACCTAGAACCGAATTAGTCTAACAAACTATGTATGATTTACAGCACCAATTTGAAACGAAAGGATTTACTGCTAAACGAATTGAAACCTTGGAATTTCTTGTTCAGAGTAACAAATAAGCATTCCATCAATCAACTAATAAAATGCATCTACATTTATACAAGCTAAAACCTGGAACTGATATATTTGGGAAAATAAACTGTAATTGATGAGTCAATTGAGGAATCCAAGGTTTTAGAAACAAAGCAGACTAGGTTTAACAGAAGCCTAGAAAAAAATTGCAACTAACAGAAGCCTAGAAAAAAATTGCAACAAGAATCCACTGGACGTTATATTTGGAAGCGCCCAAGTAAAGCCACCATATGCAACTGAACCAAAGATTAGTAGGGTTTTTTTTTTGGAAAAGTCCATTATACACCCTCGAACTTTTATGCTTGTCTAAAATACACCCCCGAACTACAAAACCAGGTATAATGCACCCTCTAACTGTTAATACCGGATACTTGACCCCCTTGGGCTGTTTTACCATGGATTTTACACACGTGGATGAAATGTAGGATGCCACATCAACCCTTCGCCACGTCAGCACTTATGATTATGCGGGCTAAGCCCATATTGCTGGGTTGTTTTGACGTTGCTTTTTCACGAGCGGCGGCGGTAGCGGCACTGCGAAGGCAGGGTTGAGCGGTCAGTGGCGCGCATCTCCAACAAGCAGCTGCGGTCGTCGGCGGAGGAGTTGTCGCGGGAAAGTAGCAGCTCCAAGCCGCTGCGCACGGTCGTCGGCGGAAGCCGCGCACGACCGCAGAGATGGCTAAGCAGGGAGCAAGGAAGAAGCAGCTCCGACACAAGCGCGATATAGACCTCGTCACCTCGACCTGTCGCTTGTGACCTGTGTGTGATGCTTCTCCTGTTTATCACAACTACTCATATATACTATTACTAATCTCGGCAAGCTAGTACGTTGTGCTGCTAGCTACTCATCTTTGCAGTCATGAGCATGTCAATCCCAAGGCTAAAGCTGTTCGGCTTCCATGCCTCCAAGCAGGACTGCAGGAGACGACGGACTAGCACGAGCAGGAGCAGGAGCAGGAGTAGTACTCGACTGAGCCGGAGAATGCGCTGGTCTGCGGCAACGGAGATGGAGCTCGATTGC